TGTTTTCCGTCTGGTTTTTGTTTAGTTCTGGGAGTCAATATGAGCAAGAACGCTCATTTGTACATTATTCTAGAGAGAAATAAATGGCCTTTTTAGAAAGTGAACCCTCGATAAGAAAATGTTGGCAGTTTTCTCAAAAAATGCTTGAATTCAAGAAGTTTTAAATTTGCGTGGTTTTCTTTAAGTTGCAAGATCGCTGCTTTTTTCGAAGTTTCTCAAGAACCATTCGAGCCACAAAATTCCTTTTGGCATCGTTGGATAGAGAATTGAATGGGGGGGGGGGTCCGCCCTTACATAGTTAGTTCAAGCAACGCATAACTTTACCAGTGAAAATTGAAAATAGTGCAGTGTAAAGTGTAGCTAGTGCATTTTCGGTTCGTATGTATCTTTTATTTGCCATTTGGTTTCCGTAAGTATTCAATTTTTTTTTTGGTTTAGCGTCTTTTTATGAATTTCACCTTTAACTTGGTGGGGTTGGTCTGGGTAATACTGGGGGTTTTAAGACACTTGTGTGTTGATGCCGCTCTGTGCGTCCATGTGCCGCGACACCTCGCCTCTTACGACGCGGCACTTGGAACAACACTTAACATTTAATCTCATTCAAGACGGCAGAGTTGGGGTAAAATAAATACTTTGTATGATGGCAAACACTAACGCGAATGGCACGCATATTATGAATATTTTGCGGTTGTTATACATATAGCACATCAGATCCTTATAATAAATTAGTAACTCTCTTAATACGGGCCCGATTTGGATCGATAAAAATTCGTTCTGAAACGAGTGGTTTGGTCTAAAAGTCGTATTTTGCAAACTCGAAATCAGTTGAGAATCTTGAACGTCATAAGAGTTTGAAGGTCGAAAAGACGCTTTTTTTCAAGGCAAATGTTATCAATGTTTTCCTTGTGGTTCTAAGGTCGATTTTATTTTGGAAAAACCCGCTTTTTGCAAGTGGAAATCTTCTGCGTAACTATTCTGTAACTGTATCGGACCGATTTGGAAATTTTGAAATTTGTGGAAAAACGCACGATTTTCTATAAAAACAGCATCTCGGCAAATTGCAATCGGTTAAAAACGATTTCGATGCATTGAAGCGTCCGCGAGCTGAAAATGATCTAAAACTTAAGACATTTTGAGGAAATTTTCATTTTTTCAAAAAATCGACCCTCACCCTTGGAAATTTCGGACAAAAATCAAAATTTCACACGCCTGTTTCTTGAGCTCAATCGATTCCTTTCCACATAAGAAGGTCACAAATATACATTTATAAAGCGTTTGGGTCAATAATAAGGAAGAAATCGTCGGCTAAAGATCGTGACCGATCAAAAAACGCTTAAAATGTGCCGAAAATGTATATTGTTTCGGATCTGAAACTTCCACCAAGTTTTTCAATCAAAATCACGTAAAATTTAAGACATTTTGAGTTGAAAACCACAGAAAAAACGCGCTGCAGCGCTAAAAGCTGCGCTAACGAACCACTAGACATCACAAAACGCAGCGTCTCCTGTTTCATATGAAAAGTGTGGCGCAAAGTGTCGCTGTATCAATACGGCAAGCCGTATCGCTGTGTGGACACATGGAAACCCACTGTGTTACCCAGGCCTATTTCCCAGTCTCACTAACTCCAAACAAACTTTTACTGCGCCCTCCTCACTGCCTGTCTTGACGATGCGCTGTTGCCTCCTCTAACCGCTTTCTCTGATCTAAGAGAGGAATTTACTAAACTGTGCCCGCAGGTTGAAAATCTTGAGGATCTCCTCAAGGAGAAAGACAACCAGGTGGACATGGCAAGAGCGCGGCTCTCCGCCATGCAGGCGCACCACTGTTCCTCAGAGGGCGCGCTCAGCACTCTGGAGGAAGCCATCGGCGATAAGGAGAAGCAGATGAATCAGCTGCGGGAGCAAAGGTATGAGCTTAAGGCCGTCTCTTAGCTGGACGCTCTCAGTCTTATAGATTATTAAAATATCACAGATCCATTTTTAGGGATCGCGCCGAGCAAGAGAAGCAGGAAGAGCGAGAGCTGCACGAGCGGGAGATTGCCGACTACAAGATGAAGATTCATGCGCTGAACAGCGAAGTAGAGAAACTCACTGCCAGATTAGATAGAGCGCAAAACGATAGAGAACGCATCGAAGCTAAGTTAGAGAGCTCACAGTCTGAACTCGGTAACTGTTGGATTGCCGAACGCTTCCAGAATGTAGATTAATTTTCGCGTTTTCCTGCAGGCAAATCGAAGGCCGAACTGGACAAGGCGATGGAGTTCGGACGTCGCGGCGATGACTACGACACAGCGCGTCAGCGCATTGCGCGCTTAGAGCTGGAAAATGAGCGCCTGCGGCAGGACTTGGAGCTGGCGCAGGCTAAAACAACGCGATTCGGCAGCAACATCTACAGCAGCACACACGAACTCGACCGAATACACGAACGAGCCGACAAAACCTCATCGGACCTGCGCCGATGTCAGGCCGAGCTCCGTGTAACGCAGGCGGACAGCGAACGAGCTCGATCCGAAGCGCAGGCGCTACAGGAGAAACTTGAAAAGTCGCAGGTTAGTCATCCGACAGTCAACCCTACTTATAA